AGAGCTTGATGTGGGGCTCAGACTCATGGACCACGAGATCATGACCTGAGCCGAAGTCGGACATTTAACCGACTGAGCCACCCAGGCACCCCAAAACAAATTTTAAAAAATGAGTGTGAGGAAAGAAAAGGACTAATGGAGAAAAGGCCAAGCTCATGCCTGAGGCTCTGGTCAAACAAAGGTGGGGACAGCTGCATCAAAGTCCACCCAAGAGCTACTCTAGTTTCAAAGGCCAACTCTAACATGGCACACGCTCAACATTCTAAGACCTTAGTCACTACTTCCTGTTCTGAAGAAGCATTTAATACTAAATACTGAGATAAATACGTATCTCATATTAAATCAGTGAGCCTCTCCATTATCACCACCTAACTTACTTCCTGAGTCTTTTAAAACTATATCTTGGGGCACCTGGGTGGCTCAGTCGGTTAAGCGTCCGACTTCAACTCTGGTCATGATCTCAGGGTTCATGAGTTTGAGCCCCGCATCCAGCCCTGTGCTGACAGCTCAGAGCCTGGATCCTGCTTCAGATTCTGTCTCTGGCTCTCTCTGCCCCTCCCCTACACATGCCGTGTTGTCTCTCTCAAATTTAAATAAACATTTAAAAAATAAAAAAAAATTAAAAAAAAAAAAAACCTTTATCTTGAGGACTAACCCAAAAACTATTTAAGGAAAACCAATTCCCAATGATGGTGATGCTGGCAAAATGGACAAGGGCGGGCAATTTACTTCCCCTGATCCTAGAAGTCATTACAAAGTGTCTTGCTGACAAGTGGCTGCGCGGCAAGCACTGTGAGGAACCATGAATAAGGACAATGGAAAGGGGTGTAGGAATGAAAGGTAATCATGTGTCTCCCTTGACCACCATCCTAAGTTTGCCTACATGCATCCCTGACTAAGAGCACACAGGTTGCACAGAGAACTGTGTTAAGGCAAGGAGCTCCCACAGCCACAACACTTCAACCTAAATCAGGCCTAAAGTCCTTCATATTTGAAGGTATGACAACTTCACTGCCCATCAGGTCTGACTAGCCTCCAAATTAGGTCAGATCCGCAGGCTCAGCCTTAGCAGACAGCACCCGTGTACTTGTGAAAAGGAGCCGTGAGATCACATGAAAACTGAGCTGTGAGATCCATTATTTCTCAGTCCAGCTCCCGCATGATAAGGAGAAGGAAGGAGAAACAGGTGGATTTTCCCTTTTTAAATTATATCCCTCTGTAAGATAGTTACCAATGGCTGGAGAATCCGTTCTGCCAGCTGCTAAACCCTGCTTACCCAGCCCAGGTGATCGAGCAGCACAGCACCCTACGGTTCCAGATATTACTTCCTACTCAAAGGAAGAAGATTCTGCTGAATCATCAGCGATGCAAGAGAAGTCAAACAGCAGCTAACTAACGGGTAAACTAACAAGCACGGTATAGAAGAACCCCCTCACTACCCGCCTGCCTTAAGCCAGTCTTGGGTGAGTTCCTTAGCCTCTGTAAACCCTGGTTTTTGATCTGAAAAATAGAAAAAGCCCTGTATCACAAGGTTGTTCTGAGGATCACACAAGACAAGCATGCAGCCTCAGTTAAATTATCATCTGTTCCGTTTGTGAAAAAGCTCAGCAACTACACAACCCCATCTCTGAAGACCAGACCACGCCCCCATCTCCTGCTACTTCTTCTAATGGCATGTCTTTAAAGATTCCTGAAAACTGAGCCCTCCTACTACAGGACACGGATAAGTCCCTAACAAGGCTGTACAGGTTCCTCTCCTAACCACTCTCTGTAAACTTGTGCCTTCCAGTAAAGGGTAAGGGGAGGTGGGAGGAGGCCTGACTGATGGGCCCAGCACCAAGACCCTCACGCAAAGCTGGATACACAGCCCTAGGGGCTGGCTATGTTTCTGGCTATGATGTAACCACTGAGACCTTGGACAGAACCAGGTTTCTCTAGGCCCCTCCTTGATGTTCTAAGCTCCACTCAGAGGCTTGAGTCAGTTCTATGGGTCACTGCCCAGTCAAAAACAAAAGTGGCCTCTTGGAACACGGAGGCCCAGTTAAGGATGTAGAAGTGGGAGAGTCCAGAATTTGGATGCATGGATAAAAGCAACGAGGAAAGAAATGCGGGCCCCAGTCCTTTCCAGGCACAGAAATATAAAAGATCCTGCTCTTCCCAAACTACAGAAATTACTTTTTGCAACAGAGATGGGAGAATGAACTACAAATCATTGGGAGTGACAGAAGGACCACACCCCCTCAAAGAGGGCCACAGAAGTCAAATGCCTACTGCCAAGTAGCAATACCCTGTCCTCTACAATCCCCCAGAGGCCCCTGGTAAAGACGGAATCATACATGCAGTTTCCAACAATTGCTGGCAGAGTGGCTCTGTTCAGAGTAAGCCCTCCGTGACAGCACCTCAGACTGCTGAATAAGTAGTTACCATCTCTAGGAGCATCTGAAATGATTTTTCTAGTACTAAGACAACCTGACCATGTTCTTCATGACAGCAGCAATAGATGGAGTGGGGGCGGAGTGGGGGGAGGCCTTCCAAGCTGCCAGTACACCTGAAGCTTGAGACTGGAGTCAGAGAGATCCCTCTAACCTCCCAGTTTCCCTTCCCTCAGAAAGGTGAACATATAGTCTGGTCAAAACGTATATATTAAATACTGCTCTCTTGGGGCGCCTGGGTGGCTCAGTCAGTTGAGCGTCCGACTTCAGCTCAGGTCACCATCTCGCAGCCCGCGAGTTCGAGCCCCGCATCGGGCTCTGAGCTGATGGCTCAGAGCCTGGAGCCTGCTTCCGATTCTGTGTCTCCCTCTCTCTCTGCCCCTCCCCCGTTCATGCTCTGTCTCTCTCTGTCTCAAAAATAAATAAAAGTTAAAAATATATAAATGAATGAATGAATGAATGAATGAATAAATAAATAAATAAATAAATAAATAAATACTGCTCTCTTACGGGAAGTCTGTGGCCCTGAAAGACGAGATTCCACTGCCTTTAGGAAAAGAAGATATGGTCCAACCTACCAAATCCCCGAGGGCCCACATTAGGAAAGTTACTGAGTAAGCTGCGTTCCAAGTATTCTACAGCCAAGAGTCACTTGTGAGTGACATGAGGGTCTTAGGAGAAAACATGAGAGATGACTGAAAGCCAGTTCCCTGGAGAGTTTTCACAGACAGGGTCATGAACTGTTCCTCGGAGACCACCTGGTGGGGATGCACCTCCACCTATCCCTAACCCTAAGGCCTGTCTGTGGCTAGGAGGGGGTGCTGGCTTATGACCTATAGCCCTGCTCCCAGCCTGACCTCAAAGCAGACAAGGTCCTTCCTGGTGAGGGATGATCAGGAGCCACATGTTCTACACGCCTCCAATTTTTGGCACTATCTTTATCTCATTCCCCAAACTGAAATGGGATGGGCAAGAATTTCCCCTTCAAAGAGAGGGACAGAGCCGAAGAGAAGAAGGGAGCCAACAGTGTCCCCGGGGAGGAGTCACGGCTCTTGCCTGGGATGCGCTTCGGCAGTGTCTCATACTCCAGGCCACTGGAGGCCGTTCCTCATCACATCCAGCTGTAAGGACCCCAGCCTCTTCCCTGCCTTCACCAGGTTTTTGAGGGGATCTGTCATTTTTGTTTTCCACCTATGGGTGTGCTATCTCCACCTTTAGATGATAAGCTCTTCCAGGCAGATTTGGGTCTCCCTCATCCTGTCTTATTCCTATCTGACTCAGCACACGGGAGGCATACACAGGTAGGAAACTACCTCTGTGTTCCTGGGTGACAGGTGGGCCTGTGATGGAAAACAACCACTCCGAACAGAGACCTGTCAATCAACACCAGGTCTTGATAACTTCTGTGTGCAGAAGAGACCCATGGGGAGACCCAGAGGAAAAAGCCAGTAAGTCTTGTCCTTAGAGACACTCTTGTCCAGTGAGAACCACGCACGTGGGTTAAAAACAGTGGCAAGGCTTGCTGGAAAATTCAAATGCAAAGGGCAAAGGCCAAGAAGGAAAGGGGGGAGCCAAGCCGTGCTGGAAACATCTACAGCACAAAGGATAGGAGGAAAAGAAGAAAGACCCTCCCTCCCCCTTCTCTCTGGAAACAGCTGAAAGTTCACTCTGTCCAAAACAGCACAAATAAACGAATAAATACTTCCTCTCTTTTATGGCCCCCTCCTGCCACAGCACTGAGTCTACCAGCAAACACATCACTGTTCAGAACAGGATGCCATACTACCCTGTAGTAGAAACTAGCAGAGGCAGGATGAGCCCTCTCGCAATCAGGGTGGGGAATAAACAGATTTTCATCCAGCCCTTGAGGTCTTTTCCCCTCCACCCAAACTGGTGGAGGGATCAAAGGCAGTCAACTATTTTCCTTCTACAATTCTAGAGCCGCAGTGCCACAACACAGATCTCAAAAAATACTTTGACAATGACAGTGGCTCCTTCTAAAGAAGTGGATAATTCAAAGTGCCAGACAATCCTAAAGTCATTTTGGTTTTGAGAATACATTATTTTTAGAAGCACTGTTCACGTTCCTAATTATATCTACCTTAGCTCAGAAAAGCAACAGCAGAAAAGCTGGATTTATCTAAAAGCACTCAGAATTATGGGGGAGAAGCATGATGGGAAACCAGCCTGCGTGCAGACACTGGCTAGGTGGATAACCCCCAAAGTTATATGCAGCCACCTTCTGTGTGTATGTTCTCCCATTTTGTACCTAAACCAACATGTTTTTCAAATCTAAACTATGAATTCCACGTAACTGCCTGCCCACCCTCTAGTATCTGATAAAGGGCAGTGAGGCAGTGACAAACTTAGAAGCAGGGAAATGGCCATCGAAGAGCCAGACCCTGCTAATGCACTCATCCTATCCCAGGACAACCACTGGGTTTAATGTATTAGGTCTTACAAACAAAACAGTTCGGCAATCATGTCTCGGTTCTGGGTCTCACACTCCTAAGCAGGTCTCTACCCAAGTAGCAGTGCAAAGGGATACACGATTAACCCTGGGTTGTCAGGACAAGGCAAGAGGAACAAGGGAGATGGGGGGAGTAGCTGGTAGTCTAGAATCCCCATTCAGGTCCACAGCATCACCTCAGTGTACCCCCTTTCTCAGCACCCTTGTGTGGTTCCTATCTAGTCCTGTTCTGTATGTATGTATGTATGTATGTATGTATGTATGTTTTTTAAGATTTTATTTTTAAGTCATCTCTACACCCAATGTGGGGCTCCAACTCACAACCCTGAGATCGAGAGTCTCATCCTCCACTGTCTGAGCCAGCCAGGCGCCCCAATCTGGTTCTGAAGGACAGTCCCCTAAGTCCCATTCACCCCTCACTGCCCTGCTGCAGTTGATGGTATCCAACTAAACGTTACTCACTAGTCCCTAGGTCTTCGCTCATTCTAAATGCCCAGTTAACATCACCGTCAACCGACTGTGTCTACATGAAGCATTACCTAACAGGAGGCTCCAAAGCCTGCTGCAAACTCCTATCAGCCCCCCAGACACCTACACACACACACACACACACACACACACACACACACACACACACACTTCTCAACCCAATATATGACCTAAATCCAAAGCAGGATAAACATTAAGACTAGCTGTGGTCTGTGCGTGGAAAGGAATGTCAAAAATAAACTCGGTAGATCAGGACGGTGTTTCCCTCCCTCATCCATTACCCCCATTTCATCCTAGTGACTGCTGTTGCTATGACTACCTGTTCAGGAAGTTGGCCCTCGCTCCTTCCTTCAGGAGAGGAAGTCTGGAGCAGTGTTTGTGCTGCCTCAGAAAAGCCCTGAAGGCCTCCTCCCCGACCCCCCGACCCGCATCCGCTCCAGTACCCCTCCTCAACCCAATGTCTTAACTCCCTTCCCCACCCCCACACCTACCTCCTCTAACTCATCCTTGGCATCCAAACTGGTTGAAAGTAGCAGCCTCCCCCCTCCTGGGGCTCCTGCTCCCGCTCCTCCTCCACCTCCCGCTGCTCCCGAAGCAGCAGCTGCTGCTGCCCCCTTTCCCTTCGGTATCTCCATGGCTGCTGCCAGGAGACGGGAAGAGGCCAGGGGGTGGACGGGTGGGAAGTCCTAGAGATGAGGAACTCTGGGCTGCCAGGACCTGGGGGCAAGAGGGGGGAGTGGGGCAGGGGAGGGAAGGGTCCCTGTCCTGTCCACCCCGCCCTCCTCTCCCAAAGGCCGCTCCTGTGGAGGAGGCGAAGGCGGACGGCCCTCTAGATCCTGTCTCTGCAGTGGCAGTGCTGGGGAAAGGCCGCCAGCTCCTGAGTATGCCGGGGTAGGGGTCTGCACCTACGGAAAGGGAGGGGAGGCTTCCGCCCCTGAAGTGGAAGGGGAGCCCTTTCTGACTTCCGACCCTAAGAGAAACAGGGCAAACCCTCAGTTCCTGCCTCAGGAGGTGGGGGAAAGCGGACTCCTGCCCCTCAAGTAGGGGTAGGAAACCTTCCTGGCTGGTGCCCCAAGGGTTGGGGAGCGAGGCTTCTTGGGATCCGGCCCCCAGGGGTGAGGGTGAGGCAGTGAGCGCTATAGGTGGACACGGAGGACCAGCTTCACCCCACACCACACTTAGGCGGCCATGGTGGAAGGGCGGGGGGCGGGGAGGCTGAGGGCGGCGGCGGCGGCGGCGGCGCGGCGGCGGGGAGGGATCGCGGAGGCCGGAAGTGAGGGGCAGCGGACCAGGCTTCGGCCAATCGCGGCTTCCGCGGTGGCGCAGGGTCTCACAGGAGCTGGTCGACGACAGCCGGTCCGGCTGCCAATGGCAACGAGCTCGGCATGATGGACAACCAGAGGGACCAATCGCATTCCAAGTTTCGCTCGTGGAGGGGGCGGGGGGCGGACGAGACGACTTCCCGGAGGTGGGTGGGCGAGCGAGGCGAGGCGATCAGGAAGGGAAGCTGCGCCTGCGCGCGCTGGCGGGCGTGCCCTGACGCGCTTGCGCGGAGCCAGCCTCCTTCTGGAGCGTAGGTGGGTGCGGGGGCCTGGCCGCCGTTCCCGCGGAGTCTGCGAAACCCGAGGTCTGGACGCGAGCAGACGGAGCGGGGCGCTCACCCCGTAAGCAGTGCCAGAGCAAACGTTGTCAGCGGGCGCGGAGCCAGCTCCCACGGCTGAGTTGGCATCGCACAAGCCGCAAGCGTCTGCGCTCACGAGTGCCGTCGTCCCCCAGAGACTGCAGGAAAAGCGCGGGTTCGGCATTAGTCGTCCAGCACTGGCTCCGCAAACGTGGCTGACGGACGGGATCGGCTTCGTGTCCGTCCTGAAGTCGTGCGTGGTCTGGATCCCCGGGGGCGCACCTGTGCTTCCTGGTTCCGTCCTGCGTCCCAGCAGCCTTTCCCTTTTCCCCAAGAGCGCTTTAGGGGTGCCTTCCCGATCCACACGGGAAAACCCGTACTCTGCTGGTCATGCTCTCTGTACAGTGTAGACAGGGTTATCTTTGAGAGGAGATTACTTTTTTAAAAATCTTTATTTTGAGAGCATCGTTCTGGGGCTCAGCATCATGACCCTGAGATGATGAGCTGTGATGAGATCAAGAGTCTAAGGCTTAACTGAGTGAGCCACCCAGGTGCCCCAACTTTTTAAACTGAAAAGCATTGTGCACATGTTATTGATGTGGGAGATAGGCAGAAGGAAATGGCAGAATTAAATTTCCTCATAGCCTGAGGCCCAGTGACCACTACTTGCCGCAGGCAAAGTAAAGTTTCTCCAGGAACTCCCTACAGTCTTAATTTTAATGCTTTGCTAGAGGGAAAACAACCTTAGCTTGACAATAGCTAGGCCTCCAGTGTCCTGGGAGTCTTTAGCATATGGAAGTCTCTTTGGAAACTTCCCATTTGACTTCGCCTCCCCCAAACCCGCAGTATATAAGCAGTCATTCCTTACAACCCCAGTGCAGCTCTTCCTGCCCACGTGTCCTGTTCCTGTGTGCTTTAATAAAACTACCTTTTCGCACCAAAGATGTCTTTAATTCTTTCTTGGCATTTGACTCCGTACCCCACCATCACCCCAAAACTTCATCAGTTATCACTGCAGGGGATCCTATTTATTTCCATGCTTGTTAGGGCTTAACATTTTAATTCTAAATACACTTGGCATTGAAATGATGTGGGTCATCCCTTCAGTTGGCTCTCGTGGATTCCTTTACTGTATACATTAACTATAAGACCTCGGGCAAGTTATTTTGACTTTCTGTAAATTATCCTACCTGTAAAATATAGAAGAAGCAGACTGGCTTATCTCTGAATACTCTTCCAGCTCAGGAAATCTAGTTCTATTTGCCTAAGCTTTGGATTCCTTCTAGGTGCAAAGCACTGCAGTAGCCACTGAAGAAGTCATTATAATAATGTTACTATGGGTCACTGTGTTACGGAACCAGGCTGGAACTCTGGTGGAAAAACCAGGCAGCACTCGGAGATCTTGGTGGATTGGAGATTTAGTTAACACCGGTGGGCTCAGAGGAGACCGTTTCTCCAAAGATCTGAGCCCTGAATGAAGGGGGAAGGGTAATTTACAGTTGTCACCTTCCACATCTGTGGTGGGTTTTCGCACTCAGCAAACAGGGCAAGAAGAACCGGGAAGAGGGGTCTCTAACCAGAGACCAGAGCCTGTTTTAGTCCCGTTGGCCATCTTATGGTGTAAAACTTTATTCATTTTCCCAACAACTGAAAACGAGATTTATTAGGCGAAGAAAGAAAAGTTAGTTTTAAAACACTATGTTCATGGGGTGCCTGGGTGGCTCGGTTAAGTGACCGACTTTGGCTCAGGACATGATCTCAGCAAGTAAATGTAGTGCTTCTTTAAAAGCACCTTACCAAAAAAATAAATAAATAAAAATAAAAGCACCTTACATAGGGATGCCTGGCTGGCTTGGTCAGAAGAGTGTGAGACTCTTGATCTCTGGGTTTTGAGTTCCAGCCATATATGTTGGGTGTAGAGATTACTTAAAATCAGAATCTTTAAAAAATAAAAAAAATTAAAATACCTTCCTTAAAAAGTATTTTGGAATCTTTGAGCTCACCGAGTAGTCACCATGAGCAAAGCTCACCCTCTGGAGTTGAAAACATTTATAGGCAATAAATTATTGAAATTAGTTGGTGGCAGCATGTCCAAGGAATATTGTAGGGGTTTGATCTCTTTGTGAATCTTGTGAGAGATGAATGTGTGGAGATGCCAACTAGGGGGCAACAGAACAATACTGGAATGGTGGTAATTTGAGGACATAGTATCATCATGTTAGAAGCCTTGGAACAAGTATAAACAGTGGGTGTTCACCAGAAGAAATGAACTGCTTCCACAAGTCCCCTCTCTCCATAGAACCTGTTTCACTACAATATAAAAATCAGTCATGTGCATTTTCATATTGAACTCTTTTGTTAAATAAACTTTTGTAATAGTCAAAAATACATATTTTGGGGCACCTGGCTGGCTCAGTTGGTGGAATATACAATTCTTGATCTCAGGGTCCTAAACTCAAGCCCACGTTGGATGGAGAGATGACTTAAAAATAAAATCTAGGGGGGCGCCTGGGTGGCGCAGTCGGTTAAGCGTCCGACTTCGGCCAGGTCACGATCTCGCGGTCCGTGAGTTCGAGCCCCGCGTAGGGCTCTGGGCTGATGGCTCAGAGCCTGGACCCTGTTTCTGATTCTGTGTCTCCCTCTCTCTCTGCCCCTCCCCCGTTCATGCTCTGTCTCTCTCTGTCCCAAAAATAAATAAACGTTGAAAAAAAAAAATTAAAAATAAATAAATAAATAAATAAAATCTAGGGTGCCTGGGTGGCTCAGTTGGTTGAGTGTCTGACCCTTCATTTTGGCTCAGGTCATGGTTAACGAGGGACCATAGGCAAGCTGAGGGCCAAGCACAGCTAGCACACCTACCCCCTCCCCTCCCCACTCCCCCATGGTGGGATATGTGTGATGTTCCTTAGGCACTCCCAGCTGCCCCAGAACAAAGGAAAGGAAAGAGAACAAGTGGCTAACTGATAGAGATCACAGTCACACAGACTGTCTCCATCAGTTTACAAATGTATTAGTAAATTACGGGAAAAAGGCAATCCCATCAATGGCCTGAAGTCCAGGAACTCCCTACTGTCTTAATGTTAATACTTTCCTAGAGGGAAAAACAACCTTAGTTTGACAATAGCAAGGCCTCCAGTATTCTGTGAGCCTTTAGCACATGAAATCCCTTTGGAAACCTCCCTTTTGACTTTATCCCTCCCTCTCCCCCAACTCCATAAAATGGTCACCCCACACACTCAGAGTGTAGTTCTTTCTGCCCACGGGTCCTGTTCCCGTGCTTTAGTAAAATCACTTTTTTGCATCAGAGACGTCTTCAAGAATTCTTTCTTGGCTGTCAGATCCAAACCCTACAAACCATTCCACATCACCCCCAAACCTTATCAATGATCTTACGGCTCCTGAGTTCAGTTTGTGAGTTCGAGCCCCACAACACGCTCTGTGCTGCTGGAGTTTTAAAGTTTTTTTTTTTT